GGGCACGGACGTGAAAAACAGCCCGAGGACCGCACGACTCTCTGCTCCAGCCCGCGCGCGTTAACGCGGGGAGCGATGACAGCGTGGGTGTTTACCCCACTTTAACACACGCACGCACACCTCCTCACTCACCTCCACGATGAACGTCTTCTCCTCCCCGCACGCGGAAACGACCCAGAACAAAAGCGGGAAGTAGCAGGTCTTCCAGCAGAGCCCCGGGAGCCCCGCTTTCCTCCTCCTGCGCCTCACTCCTCCACCTCCGCCTCCTCCTCCCGTCGCCATGGCTGTATCCCCGAATTCCCCCCCTCCTCCGCCTCCGCTTCCCGCCGGTGATGTCCAGGCTCCTGCTCCGCTCTTTTACCGGAGGAAACGGTCCGTGCGCTCCTGCTTCATCCCGGCCACGCTCACTCGCGTCTCCTCCTCTCCGGGCTCCACGCACCGCTGCTGTGATCGCGCTGTGGGTTCGCTTCACTGAAGGGGCTCACGCAGGTGCAGCGGGAACAGCTGAAGGAAGCCTGGCTACAATAACGCGGGGATGCTGCTCCGGTCTGTCCGGTAACAGCAAGGAGGAGAAGGGGGTGGGACCGAGAGAGGGAGAGAGAGAGGAGGAGAGAGATGGATGTTGTGATGGATGTTGTTGCAGTACCTCTTTGCCCACACCAGGAGCGCTGCAGACGCACAGGACTCGTCTGTGCGTGTTTTATCGTCCCTTAGAGGGTAAGGAGGGTCGAGATTTCAGAATCAGAAAGCTGGTTTGGACGTTGGGGTTGAAGTGGGCTCGTTTCTAATGGAAAAAGTAATAAAGAAGTCATGGAAACTTTACATTTCCACACATTACACAAAGATGATGCTCGAGAGGTTAATGGATGAGAGGCCACGTTGTGTTTAAAGTCAGAGTCGTGAAGGCCTAGAAACATTTTCAAGGACAGGATGTCTCTGTCAGGATGATCCCACACGGCTTCAGTAATGCTGGGGTCCGGGCTCTGGGGGGGCCCATCCACGACTGATATGTGTTTTATATCCACTTTATTTTACTGCACTGCCAGGGTTTGGCATCATTGTCCTGCTGAAAATCAAAGTTTACAGATAGCAGATCAGACTCTGGTGGTCCTTTTCTGAGTTCATAATTCATCAGTTTATTAAAGAGCTCCAAATCCACCGACTGACATGATGCTGAAACCATGACAGAGCCTCACAGATGGCTGCAGACTCTCAGTGTTGGACCTCCTCCTACATACTGACCATTATGTGGATCCATCTCTCCATCAGACCTGCTCCTCTAATCTTCAGTTCAGTTCTTGTATAATTTTCATGCCTCAGTTTCCCTTTATCAAGAACGGCTTCCTGACAGACGCCAGTCACTGAGACATTTCTGATGATCAGCTAAACGTGCAGATCATCTCTCAGGTCCTGTGTCAGGGCTTTGCCGGATTTCTTCCCGTTTCTTAAGAACATGGATTTCAGATGCTGTTCACTTACTCTTCCAGGACACACTGCACACCCTGCAGAGATATAACAGGCTAAAAGCTCTTTGGGAGTCACTGTGTTGGTGCAAAAATACTATTTTCTGTCAAACTTTGATCTAATTTAGATCTAATTTAACATTGATTAGGTTTTAGGTTGATCTTATGCGTAGATGCAACACTGGCTCTTCCAGTGAGTTAGGCGTTTTGACCTTGAATGACTCTTCAAATAAGTCCGGTACAAGGACGGAAAAAAGTTGTGAAATTTGGAGAACTGTTGCTTAAGATCACTTAAAAACAACAACAACAACAAAAAAAAGACAGTCTGGCTCTTTGGAAGCAAAATCTAAAGGTGCAGGTTTGAGACCTGTGTGTAAGCAGCACATTAATGATGCCACCAAACGAAGTGCAAACTGTGTGTTGCACTGCCACATGAATATGAATGCATGAATATGCTGTGGTTGCTAATAGAAAGAAAATCAGCTGTTTCCACTCAGAATATTCAGTCAGTAAAATTCATTTCACTTTGAATTCAGCCTGATTTCCACGCTCACCTCTGGGACGGCGTCTGAGCCGAACTCGCCGAGCATCTTGTGATATTTGAACGTGTCAAGATCTCGGAGCTTGAGTGTGCAGACGTCGGCTCTGTGATGAAAGTCGGACGGACGTAAGTGAGGCAGCGTTCAGAGTGCTGTTCAATTATTGTTTAATTGTTCAATCATCACTCATTCAGGTGACAAGAGACTTTATGTCGTACAGGCTGCCGGACACTGGCGCCACCAGTAGGCAACGAGTGAAGTGTCTTGCCCAAAGACACAACGACTGAGATTGTCCAAGCTGGGGCTCGAACCGGCAACCTTCCAATTACAAGGCAAACGCCCAACTCTTGAACCATGATTTTGAGCGTATTTTGAGATGTGATGAGTCAGATTTGCTCTCTTGTTGGTGGAACAGGAGAGCTGTGAAAAACCTCTTGATGCACGATCAATCATCCAGGTAAGTAAATCCCCCGTTTGATCGACAAAACGCTACGTCCAGATGAACAGAACCAACTTTTGGGGAATCAGAAAAACTACATCGTGCCTCTTTTCTCCTCCCAGCTCCTCACCACAGACTGTATATAAAGATGGACAGCCACGGCGATGTCACAGCTTTGTGAAGTCCCGTCTTGGCGTTTTGAAACTGCATGTGATGAGTGAGGTGTGACTCTCACTTGACTGTTGCAGCTGTCAATCACAACTGAACGCTGGTCCCGTTTGGCTCTGACGGCGGTCCTAATTTTAAAAATCAAATCAAAAATAAACAGACGTGAAGTCGTCACCGAGCTCAGAGATCAAAGCAGGAGGCCGACTTTCTCACAGGCCTCTATAGAATCAGACTTCTTGTTGCAAGCACAGCAGTCTCCCCCTGCTGGTCACCAGAGAGAATGCACCTCCGCATAAAGTTTCACAGTCTGTTCATGTAAATGAGGGGTGGGGGCACTTCAGACCTCAGGAGCCGGTGTCCTGCAGGTTTTAGATGTCTTTGATCCAGCACAGCTAATTTAAACAGCTAAATCACCTCCTCAACATGTCTTGAAGTTCTCCAGAGGCCTGATAACAAACTAATCATGTGATTCAGGTGTGCTGACCCGGGGTGAGATCTAAAACCTGCGGGACACCGGCCCTTCACGCCAGGAGTTCAACACCTCTGATCTAAATGATCCAAATCAGCTGAACCAGTTTTAAAACTCTAAGTCGATCATTTCTCCTGCTGTTGTTTTAGTGTCGAAGCCTCCTCCATCACGCTGATGGGTGCCAGCTGTCCAGCTCCACCACCGCCGTCGCCTTAAAATAAGGACTTCACTGTGTGGTCTGATCACCAAAAGCTTCTTCATCATATGCGCCATCAAATAAATCACTTAATGTATATTTATGCCTTTCAAACGAGTCTTTACTGATTGAAATCCGCCCACAGAGGACTCGTCTCCATTCAAAGAGGCTGATTATAAACTGAAGACAGCCGTGGTTCTAATTAAAGATGACAGTCTGCTTTAAGGATCATTACAAATATCACAGAGGGGGATTAATCGTTTGATGCAGACACTTTGGAAGATGTTTGTTTAAAAGGAAAGGATTTGGACTGCTTTCCCGTTTCTGTGTTCGATCCTCTGGAAAACATTTCCAGGTTTATTTGTGGATTTTCTGAGGGAAGTGGGCATCTTCTCAGTGAGACAGAAGGCTATAGTAACACTTTGAGTCACGTGTGTTTATCTGCAAATTACTTACCGTTTTATTGCCTCGCAGTTTTCCACGCTGTGCCCGAACAGCTCCTGATTAGCAGATTACCGGATTATCGCCGTGGCAATAATGGGACGGATGGCTGAGCCGGATCGAAGCTGTGACGGGGTGACCTTTAATGTAACCGATGGCCTCTTGAACCACCCGGCCGCCCTGCTGTTATTTATTTATTGCTCGCATCCACAGAGTGCTAAATCTGAAGCAAATCTCCTCGACTACAGCTGCGCCGTGCGTCACTTGGCATCATTCGACAGGCTCGCTCGGACGCCCGCGACGGCGGGTTTGAGCAATTTTCAGTAAATCCACACGTGCTGCACGTGCACGCAGATGTGCACGTGTGTCAAACACACAAGCGGAGCAGAAATGACAGCAGCCCGCTCGCATTGCACCGTAATTTCCTTTTACTTTAAATGGACTGCAGGAAATCGATGTAATGACAGTCCTGTGCAGCCGGCCTCTCTGTTCAAACCTTATAATTGAATCTATAGTTTCAGACTCTGCTGACGTCACTGTGGAGACATTTTCCTCCACCTGCTCCACAGGAGCTTAAATTATGAACGAGCTCATAGGTTATATGTGTGTTCAAAAATATACACCTGACCGCCTCTGTAACTCTCAGCTTTGCTGTTGTGTATTTCTTTTCCCTTTATAACATCTCCAGTTGTTTCACAGTATTTTATTTTGTGTCTCCTTCAGTTTACTTTTTTTGCTTTTATTTTTTTTTGTTCTCATGTCTGAGTCGCAAAACTGCACAAAGTGACCAGAGGCAGACAGAAAATGCAAGAAAAGGTGCAAAACTATCACAAGAGACTCTAAACAACCCACAAACAACCACACGGTGAGTGGGAGAAACACAATTACAGCAAGAAGACAAACAAGCAGCAAAGTCAGCGACTCTACAAGCAGAAAAAGACACAAGAAAGAAAAAGACCAACGAGATGCAAAAGTAGCACAAAACAAAAGCGTGAAAGAGACAAAAGGTGCAGACACACAAAAGAGGAGAAATCAGTCCGACTCAAAAACACAGCTCAGCTGCTAAGAGGAAAAAGATGTAAATGAGACAAAACAGCAAAAGAAGGAAGAAAAATGCACAAAAGTCACAAAAACAACAGAAAGATGCAAAATGTCAGCAGAGAAAAAAACAACATCAGTGTGAGAAAGACAAAAACAAACAGAATGTCAAAGAAACCGAAGATGACCTGAAAAAGAAATAAAAATGAACTTGGAAAAGATAAACAACAGAACAAACAGAAAAAGAAAGAAAAAACAGGAAATGACCTCAGACGCAGGCGTCACCACCTCCTCTCCCAGCATCCTCCTCTGTGCTCCTTCACTACATCCACGAACCTCCTCTGAGCTC